GTTTAACAACCTCAGATTTAAATAAAATAAAATATAACTTTATCAATGACATGTCATTTAATTAAATATGTAATCTCAAAAATTCCAAACTAACATTAGACCAATGCAACATCCTATTTTAGAAATCATTATTTGATAACGGAAGCTATCTTAGGTTCCATTATAAGTAACTAGAGACAAGAAGGATTTGAAAATTTAAGCTCAATCTTTGTTTGCTTTTACTTGGTATTTCTAGAAATTTAGGCTGATTTGAAAATTCATAACTCATTCAAGGAATCTCCAATTGATCACATTCTTATCTCCTTTAAAAGCTAAATGAGGCCTCTATGTTTGAAAAGTTATATACTGAGCTTTGATTAAGTCACTTAATAAAGTTTATTCGTTTAACTAGATTGCTCTTTTTTGCCTTCCCAATATTCCAGAGTTTTGGCCTTATATTTAAATATTCATATCTTAAGTTATAGGACTCCAATTCATGTGTACTTTATCTTGTTAGAAACCTTAGAACCTTTATCTATAAGGGGAAAAAATGTGCCACATGACTTTTGTTTATCCAATTAATACAGTGTAATAAATCTTTAAAACTGTTTAACTCTCAATCACTCTAGAGTCAGATTTCTGTGTCCTATCTTGCAAAATTCATATCTAGAGTTGTAGACATCCAATCGGTGTGATCTTGGGTTTGTTTGAAAGCTTGACATACCTTATTTACAAACAAAAACATGAAACAGAACTTAGATAAGCCCAGATGATATAGTTTACTCATACATTATGAATACCTAGTCCGCCCATAGAACTAACTCTAGAATTTATAGGTCTACTTTCAAAATTCACCATAAATTCTAAAAAAATCATATATAAGTGATCCCTGCTTATTCAAAAGCTTATGAAGTCTACCATAAGAGAAAAATCATAGACAGAATTTTCTCTATCTCAATTAATATTTTAATTCGTTGAATACAAGTCACTTATATGGCCTTGCACAATTTTCCAGAATCTTGAGGGTTTCCTTGAAAAATCAAAACATGAACTCTAGATTTCCAATTTCGGGGGTTTTCACTTTATCTTAAATCTTTCCATATGAATTAATCTTTGACCAAGTTCCACTCCTCTTAGGTTCCGGTAAAAGTGACAAAACTGAAATATATTCATGCAGGCTATCTTTAAAATTTTACACGGTTAGTTACAAGTAATTAAGCCAACTTTAGACATCAAATACAAGCAAAATATCACCATCTTGATTCTTAATTATTAAAAATCATATACGTACATACAGTTCAAATGGCCATACAACTTTAAAATTACTAGTCCTTAGGATAATTACCCAAAAAGTAGCAATCTTATTTTTCATATGCACATGCAAGTTTCAATCTCCTTGTCTTTGTCATTGCTCTTGTGCTTGATCCTTGTTGGCTAGAAAATTTTGAGGTTGAGATTATAATAATCTGAGTAGCAAAGCATATATTTACAATTAGTTTCTTGACTTAGCACATGTATCATGCTATATTTAACATATACACGATATTCTTGCCACGAATCTTTTAATCTTGACTATGTTTACTCTTGGACTCTTAAATTTTAAAATATTATTTTGATGCCCTTAGGATATAACTTGTCTCAATTTATTATGATTAGAGTTCTCTTTAATCCACCCGATAGCTTAAGGGTGTTACTTGATTTAAACTAAGAATATCATTTTAGTCCCTATTTTCTTTGACTTTTACTGCCTTAATTTTTCTTCATATTCTTTGGTATCTCTTTATTTTAAGGGAGCATTCTCTGTGTCCTCACTTATCATAATTTATAATCCAATTAATTATATATAAAATATGGATAAAGATAAATTTCTTATATATATATATATATGTATGTATGTATGTATGTATGTATTTTTTTATTTGTGGAATTTCTCTTAACTTTTACTTATCATGATGCTAAACTCAAACTTACCCTGATGACTCTTATCTCCCTTATTATTGTTAGCTGGAGCCTAAAATATGGATACACCCAGCCAGCAGTGAATTGCCATTAGAATAGAATTCCACTCCTTAAAAAGGTGGTGCCCCTCGTTCCAAAACACCTAAAAGGCACAGGGAACTAGAAAGGAAATGCCATCCACTATGCACAGAGTGGAGGAGTACCACGTGGCAAATAGTTTCCAATATCTCAACCTCAATATAATTACAATAATACAATCCATCCTTATTTCCTCTCGTGCATCACAACCACAATCAAATTCAAAAAATCACTAAACATGCTTGAAAACAATAAAACTCAATTCATTTAAATCAAATAGCAACGAGCATGCTTGAAAGAATTGAAGCCATTGCAATAATCACTTTCTCAAACCAACAATTGTCCATCAAATGCTAGCAAGATTGAAAATGATCAAAATACTAATATAAGCATCCAGAAAACTACACAAGCATGCTAGAAATTTAAAACCATATGCTCATATAAAAATTAACTAAACAAGCCCTCAATGGGCATGACATTCCAAGTGACATTTGTATCTATATAATATAATAAAATAGCAGGTATCCTAATACATGAGAGAATAAACCATTGTTACCTGTTTTCCAGGTTAAAACTCCATATGCAAAGAATGTGCTCAACACCACTATCTCAAATGTTACTCTACACAATTAATAATAGTAAATATAATTTATTAATAGGTCTCAATAATTATTTTATGTATAAAATTAACTCTAATGATTCCCATTTCATTTAAGTCTAAGATACTATATCTCTTAACTTCAAATAATTTCCATAATTTTTGTCCTTTTTTTCACCTATATAAAATTTAATAATAAACTCTTCATAATTAAATTTTCCCAAGATTCTCACATTCTACCTCTAAGGTTTATCTTCTAAATTTTTGGTTTAACTTTACTCCTTATTTTTAGCTTATTCATAAATAGATTTAATCCCTAGAGAAATTTTCCACACTATTAGATCATAAATTAATTATTATTCGTTTACTGAAAGTCTCTAAGAATATTAAATCCTAATCAAAAGGATCCAAGCACTTGTGTTATTCTGCAACATTGTTACGACTTGTTACTGGTTTTGTCATAACTAATATGTACTTTGTTATAGGTTTTCACAATCCTTTGTTTTACACAATTTTTTTCCATTAAACACTAATATATTTGCACAATATATCGAGAATTCTCTCCATTATCCATCCCAACCATTTGATCAAATTTGAATGATCAATATCTTAATATTTTATAAAAACTATTATTAAAGATTTAAATAGCAAATACGTAAGTAAATAAATTTAAACTGTTATAGATGATATAGTTCTAACGGAAATATTATTATTGAAGAATTAAAGTATTTCATAAATGATTTTTTTTTTGCCATACTCCATTACATTTATGAGATGTTCAAATCAAATTTTAATAGTTTGAATTTATTTATTTTTATTTGATACCATAGCAATAGTTTCATAACAATAGTCTATAAACAAATAAATATGAATTGTTCAAATTTTATTCAATGGTTGAGATGGAAGTCCAGAAAAAAATGAGTGGGAGGAAAGTGCACTTTATCCATGTTTGAAACAATAATGGAATTTAGTCATTGAACTAGAGACAGAAAAAAGCAAGAAAGAGATGGACAGCAAAGAAATAAAGGGAAAATATGTACATATGATAGGATCCAGTTTCATGACACTTGCAGTAAGACAAAGTCGCGTTGATAGTAGGTAGCAAGAATTAATAGATTATATTCTTTTGAAAGGACTATAGGTGGCTAAAATGAACCTAAGGTTGCAGAGATTGAAATTTAAGCCATTTGGTTTGCATAGTTATGATATTCTGCGGTCTAAAAATTATCTACAAAACTCGAAACCACTATCCAAAAACTAGTTTTAAACAGTTCTATTTGAGTTTTGATGCATGACTTCTCATATATATTTTTGTAACATGTGTCGTCTGCATGTTTTCCTTTCCATGATGATTATATTGTATTAAAAATTACTTTATATTTTCTCAACGATTTAATTTCCATATTTTTTAAGATATCAAATATTTGTACCTGAATCTTTAATATTTAATTATGCGGTTTTGGATCATAATCTTGATAATATGAAAGTCATAGACTAACTTTAAGTAACTTGTATCCATGTTAGATGGAGGTCTTTCTACTTGATCTTGGAAAGAATGAAGTCCAAAGTTTGGCGAATCTAGTAAAAACTGAAGTTCAGTATTTATGTTTCAATAGTTATGTTGAAAATTTTGATCGGAGAAAGAAAATACTAGCTGCAAAGCACCAAGATGTGAAGAAAAAGTTTCAAAGACGCAAAGGTGTTTTCAGTTTCAAGTTTGAAGCAAAGCAATGGGAACATGAAGCAAATGATATCGTTAATACTGACATTAAAATAAAGAAGAAATTCTTTTTTGGTTGGTGTCCTAATTGCTGGTGGCAACATCGAAGAGATAAGGAGTTGGCTGAGAAGACTAAGCAGATTGAAGAATTACTAGGAAGATTAAATCCAATATAGTATCTGGTCACGCAAACATATCAAACATAAAATACCTTGCTTCACAATATTTCATTCATTTTGAGAGCAGAGAGTCAAAGTTCAAAGATCTAATGAAGGCTTTACAAGATGATTATTGGAATATGATCGGATTGCAAGGGATGAGTGGAGCAGGCAAAACTTCAATGGCAACAGAAGTGGCTTGTAAACTAAGATTCAGGATTAATTGGCAAAGTCATCTTTCTTGTTGTGTCCAAGCCTCCTAATTTCAAAAAGATTCAAGGTGAACTTGCAAAATGTTTAGATTTGGACTTAGAGGGAGTGAATGAAGAAGATCTCTCGCAGACAATATGGTCTAGAATCACTCATATGGAAGAAAAGTTGCTTATAATACTAGATGATGTTTGGGAAAATTTTTGATTTGAGAAAAAACTTAGGGATTCCATCTGACCATCAACACAAGGGCTACAATTTATTAATAACCACACGTAGTTTGAATGTTTGTACATAAATGGGATGCCAAACTATTGAACTACAAACGTTGAACGATAATGAGGCATTGGATCTTTTTAAAGCACATGCCAATATTAATAATTCCTCTCGTGGTTTGAAGGGCATGCCAGAAAAAATTGTTAAGCATTATGGAGGAGTACTAGTTGCAATTGTAGCAGTTGCAAGAGTATTAAAAAATCAGTCTACACCAATTTGGAAGGATACTTTGAAAACATTGGAAGATGGCGGTGTTGATAGGAAGTTGGAAGAGGCTTATAAATGTTTGAAGTTAAGCTATGATAACTTGAAAAATGAAAAGGCTAAGGAACTCCTTTTGATATCTTCTCTATTCCCAGAAGATTTTGAAATTTTGATAAACGTTTTAACCAAAATAGGTACAGGATTAGGCTCTTGTGGGGAAAATGATGAACACCATGCAAAAAGAAGTGTTGTGCATGCAGCAATAATGCAACTCATAGATTGTTCTTTATTGTTGAGAGGTGAGGAAGAATGTATAAACATGCATGATTTAGTTCATGAAGTGGCATTGTGGATAGGAGATAAATATATTCAATCTGTCATAGATTCAAAAGTGGCTATAAACAAGAACCTGAGATATTTCTTTTGGAAGGGTGATGATTTTCTTAATGAATTGGATGGAAAGGAATTAGAGGTTTTATTAATCTTTTTAGATGGTTCAAAGGACTTGGAAGCCTCAGATACATTCTTTATAGAGATGAAAAGGCTTAAAGTTTTGATTTTAGCTAGTACAGATAAAATTCCAGCTCTATCATTGATAAATTCACTCCTATCATTAAAGGATATTTGAACACTTATCTTCGTGAATTTGAAGCTAGGTGACATCTCTATCTTAGAAAACTTATTGAGCCTTGAGACTCTTTGTTTTATGGGTTGTTTAATCATTGAATTTCCAAAGAATTTTCGAACATACTAAGCTAAGATCGTTGGAGGTCAAAAGTTGTCAAATAAAAAGAATAATCCTTTCGAAGTGATTGAAAGATGTACAAACAGAAGAGTTAACTTTCGTTTGTAATGAGTGTGTTGCCAAAGAAAAAGACACAATTTTTCAAAATGGATCTCCTCTTACATAACATAGATATCAAATATTTTCTGAGGACCTTTCTGAATATTTTGAAATGTATGGTTCCATGTCAAGATGCACTCAATTAAATGATTTGATGCATTTAGTCTCAGAAGCAACATTTAAGCATCTTGTAGGAATAGCTGAACTTCTTTTCTCAGATGATTGGTCTGAAGAAATGATGTGGAAGAATCTTATCCCTGATGTTATTCCAATAGACAATGGAGGCATGATGAATGATTTGATTGTTCTTCATTTGCGTCATGTGCCCAACATCGAATGCCTCATTGAGACTGAAAATCACAATTATGATGTGAGTGCCTTCTCTAATTTAGTTGGACTACATCTCTTTTATATTGATGTTGAAGATTTATATCGAGGTTCTTTGCCATCTGGATTTTTCTAGCAACTAGATATTATGACACTAGTGGAATGTAAAAAATTGAAGAACACATTATTTAATGGCAATTTGAAACTACATCATCTTAAGTCCTTGGAACTGAAAGACTATCCGCTGATGACATCAATATTTCAACCATCCACCACTGGAACTTTGATGCAGTTGGAAAAGTTAGTAATTATAAGTTGCTATGCATTGGAATACATCATAACAGATACAAGTTCAGGAGGGGAAACAGTGAATGATGATGGTGAGAATGATCGAAAGAGTTATGACTCATTTTTCCCAAAACTAAAAACTCTTAACATTTCAGGTGTCCCAAGTTTAATTGGAATTTTTAGAGATTATCACCAATTCGTTAGTTCATCGTTACAAAAATCATCATCTACACTTTCAACAAATTATTCCAAGAAAATACTTCAGAATCCTACCATAGGTGCCCTCTCTTGGCTACAGGCATGTTGTTTTCGAAATAAATCGCAAGATATAAGTGAAGAGACCAAATTTGCTAATTCTGACAAGAGATTGGACCACCATAATATCTCGCAGGTGTACTACATTCGTCTTCTTATTCTTGTTCAAAGTTTCTAGTATGTATTTAGTATGTTTGATGATAAAATTAGTAAAATCGATTATTTATGGACATGGTTAAGGATAAAAGAAAATAAGGTATGAGTTTCATAAATATCAATTAGTTTTCCTTCAAAATAGTTGGAACAAAATGATAAAAAAGTATAATTATTTTTTATTTATTGTTATGATTGGATATTATTTAATTTTCTGTATATTAAATTATCCGATCAGTAAGCTATATATCATCATCCAAGCAGGTCGCCACATATCGGTCTTTCGAATATAAAGGGTTAAACATAATTTTCCTTCGAAAGCATTTTTTTAAATTTTATCTTAAATATCAATCATTCCAAATTAGTTTTCCACAATTTAGATTTCTAAATATCCATGTTGACACTCAAATACACACACAAAGATCCAAAGATGTAATTGGCCATTATAAATCTTGTAATTTCAGAAATCTTTTGACCACTTCTTTACTCCTTTTATAATTGTAACAGTTTACTATTATATTTTATGGGAGACAATTATATATTAAAAATTTAATGCAGACCAATATTGTGTCAAAATTAAAATATTTTGTTCTTAAGTAATAACAAGCCAAGATAAAATAAAATAAATTAAACTTTCATTTTCCAAAAAGAATTTTTTTTTTATAGCTCACAAGTATCCTCCTATTGGCCTGTTTGAGATACAGTCGAGCGCTAAATATGAACACTTTTTCAATGAAAATTCAAACTTTCATTTATCATGTTGTGATGAGAGACCAACATTTTTCACTCGACATACATAATCCTGTTGGTCCAAAAGGAACTTATGTAGAGAAAAAGATATATGAACATTTTTACCAAAAAAAAAACGAACATTCTAATGTGATTAAAAAATAACTAGCACTAATTGAAAGGAGAATGTGCATGCTTGCAAGATTCTGACCAGAAGAACTAGTCATGTTCACCCATACCAGGACATCTTTGATCATACTCAAAATCTATTCTTCAAAAACTGGGATGTTCAATTATTTTACCTTTGTAAGTTTAGTAACTTTACTGCTGCTTTTCTTGCTAATTTAGCTCACACTACTGTGGGCACTTTTTGTACCTTTAATGATCCATCCCCCAAATTGCAGGTGAGGTCGATAGTGAAAGGTCTTAGTTGTTTATCTTTTTGTTCTTGAACTTTGTTTATACTGTTTATCTTGATTAGTTTATGAAGTGTCCTTTTCATTCAAAAAAAGAGAACAATACATCCATTTGCCCACAAAAAAAGAAACAAAAAACTAATTGAAACAATCAATTATGTATTAATGTTGCTTGTTCAAGTTTGACTGATGATTTTTTTGTGGTATATATGAGAATGATTTGCTTTCTTGGTGATAGATATAAGAATGAATTTATGTGTTTGTAGGAATTAGAAACATCCACAGATGGAGTTCCTCCTTTTCAAGCAACTCAAAGCCTTTTGATGAAATCATTAAAGAATGTTAGGCAAATAAAACTTGTGGAATGTGGGAGCTTAATATCATTGTCAACTCTATCCAGTGCGGCCTCAACTATTTTGTTGAAAAAGTTGACTATAAAAAAGTGTTATAGGCTGAAGTGCATCATCACACATGAGGGAGATGATCAAGTTGATAATAATTACTGTTCCATTTTTCCAAGATTAGAGGATCTAACAATTAAGGATTGCAAGGAGTTGGAACTTTTATTTACATTAGCAATATCTGGAGGACTTGAAAAATTGAAGTCTTTGGATATCAAGAATGTTCCAGAACTAAAATATGTTGTTGGAAAGTACCATGAGGAGAAAAATTCATACTATCAGAATCAAAATGATGAGCTGGATTTTGATCTTCCTGCTTTAAAGACCATCTTCGTTGAATATGCACCAAAGTTCAACAGCATTTGCACCAACAATTACAATATGGTGAATCGGAGAACTACAGAGGTGCACTCTTTTTAATTTTGTATATATGATTTGTTTTTTTGTTTTGATAATGTCATTAGAAGTGGAGTGTTTGATCAAAATCAAATTATTTATGACTCTCTTACTATTTAAGCTTTTAGATTAATTGTCGACCAAGTATTACAAGGCATGATAATCCAAGGGGGAGGTTTAGTTTTTTATTGAAAAAGAAAAGACTTTGAACAGATCACAATAAGATGTCTAGTGAATTTCTCATGGATTGGAAATATAAGGTTGGCTATCAAAATACTCTACTTTTCATTGGACTGATGTATATATTGATGCTTATACGTTGAAGACGCCTAATTATGATGATTTACAGTAAAGTTTTGATTTCATTGTAATATTAGTTAGAAGAGTAGCACAATTTTTTTTAGATGGAAATTAAACTAATTATTTTTATTTCAAATCAATCCAGCTAGTATTGTATATTACTTAGTTACTTTAACTAAAACTTCCTACAGATATTAATTTAATGATTTATTGGCTTGTAGGAATTAGATGCATCCACAGATGGAGTTCTTCTGTTTCATCTATCAAAAAGCCTTCTGATACAATCATCGAAAAATATTAAGAAAATGGTACTTTCAAATTGTGGGAACTTAATATCAGTGTCAACTCTATCGCTTGCATCAACAGTTTTATTGGAAGATTTGACGATCGAAGGATATGGTCAGCTGAAGTGCATTGTAGCAGATGAGGGAGATGCTGGAATGCACATGAGTTACAATTCCATCTTTCCAAAGTTGAAACTTAGAAGCTTTATTTTGCGATGCATTAGAATATCAATTCCCTGCATACGCTTTTAGATCCTCCGTATATTTGGAATATTTGAAAATCCAAGAGGCTCCTGTGCTAAAATATGTGATTGGAAAAAGCCAACATGAAGACAGTTTAACTCATGAGAATCGAAATATCCAAAATCACATCGATTTCCCCGCTCTCAAAGGTCTTTCTATTTGGGATGTGCCAAAAATTGTAAGCATTTATCCTTAAAGCTACTATTTGAGAGGGTCATCTCTAAAGTGTGTTGTTTTGGAAAATTTCACAGTGAGACTTTTCAATGAGTTTATGGTTGTTGGCCTACAAATCAACAAGAAATAAAGGTATGAACACTTTTCAACTTTGATTTCCTACTAGTTCTAGTCCCCCCCCCCCCAAAAAAAAAAAATTGATGTTATATTTTAACAACATTTCATGGAGTTTGCAGGCAAGTGAGATACACTGCCAAACTTTGGAATCTCTCGGTGTTCGTTTTCTCCAAAATAGAAGGAATTTTGAATTTGAGACATGTGGACATACCGAAAATGGGGAAGGACTAGGACCATTGACGTCAAGCTTACAGTCATTGTACTTGCATGATCTAAGTCACTTGGTGAATCTATGTGAGGGGCCTAAACATATTATCAGCTTCCATAGTCTTCAGGAACTAGTCATTATGAAATGCAAAAAGCTTAAAGTAATATTCTCTACATCTACAGTGAAAAGCCTCCCCATGTTGAAACGTCTAAGAATATCGACATGTGAAGAATTAGTTCACACTGTTGAAGAAGATCATGAAACAAATGCTGATGATGCTTTGCATTATGAACCATGCTTTCCCAACTTAAAGATGTCCATGTTGATAATTGTGACAAATTGAGGTACCTGTTCTCCATCACAATCTCTGGCATCCTTCCAAATCTAACATATTTGGAGATAAATGGAGCCTACAAACTTGAGCATGTACTAACCAGATGAGGTGAGATGACAGAGATGATCATGAAGGATGTGCTTCCACAACTAAATCGGCTACGCTTATGTGAACTTCCCAACCTTGTTAGTATCTGTCATGGGATCGATTTTCAAGTTGTGGAAGAAGATTATAGAACGCGTGTGCATAATTGTCCCAACTTTTCTTTTTCTGGTATGCACCCAGAGAAGTAATCCTTTAAAATTGATTTTTATTAAATGAGTTTTATTATAACATTAAAAGTCCCACTTTCAGAAACTTCAACCACTGGCCAGCTTAAAGGCCTTGAAACTGCAGATTCTGAAGTTGAAGAAAAAACAGAGCAGTTTTCTGCACATCTGAGTATCCATCAACATCAGAATCTGGAAGAAGCAACACAACAATCCACAAGTGGTTCAGGATCCCTCACGGAGGTATTTATTCTTTATTTATGTCTCTAGTATACACATTATTTTTCTTTCTTTAATTTGCTTTAAAGCTTTCATATGAAACCAGATGATTTTTTTTTTTTAAAAAATCCAATTGCTAGAAGAAAAAAATAGAATTTGAAGACCATATATTTAAAATACCAATACAATATATTCCTCTCTCTCTCTCTCTCTCTCTCTCTCTCACTCACATTCTAATTTGTTAATGAATTTGAGATGAACTTTTTATTCTGTAGTTCTGGGTTGGGTATCGAGGAAACAATAATAACGAAGAAGGGAGATTATTATCCTTTATCTTAGATTATTCTTTA